ATAATGTAAAAGACGGTCCAGAAGRAAGCTAAATTGTACAAATACAATACAATTTTAGAGTCAAATATACAAAACTTAATGCATCAGATAGGTGTATGTTTTYATCTTTCAATACCTTTTGTCTCTTGAAACTCTAAGGAGTTTTTTCTGTGATCTTCGTAGATTTTCTTGGAAGTATTCCTGTTCCTATAGCAAGGTACAAGTGAATGTTGTCCTCATATTTTGCTGATGGGTTTGAACTGTCAAAATTACTCAATACTTACGTATAGTAAAAACTTTAGCTTTCTTTTTAAWGATTTATATTTTTGTTTGTAATCTTGGCCTTCGCCAACATGATTGTTGCAGTCTGGAAAGAGTAAAATGGAACGTTGTATTACTAAGAAATGTCAACATGGTCACAAATTGAAGTGCTGACAACCAGGTTGAAATCCTTTTTACTCTATTTCACTAATCAAGTAAAGTTTATTATAATACTGTATCTGTTATGGTATCTTCAGAGTTATAAACATCAATAAACTCTTCATTTCGATCACGTAAACTTACCTGGAACAGGCATCATGGCCGCCATTGAACATTTTCGTACCCAGACTTCTGCCTGCTCAAATGTCGTATTTCCAGTCTCTGGATGCTTTAAAAAACAGGGTGCCCATGCGGGAATTCTATCTGGTAAAAACCTAACGTCCAATCAAAAATTGTAGTTTTATCTGACGTTAACGCCGAAATCAAATGAATTAGTCTGTTTCACCAACTTTCTGTCGGCCTGGACCGGGAAATGCACGGATTTTACAATGAGAGTTCACTATTCTGTTGACACTGGTCTAGTGTAGTGGTAGGACAGGCGAGACCTGGGCAGATATTTTAGAAAAACAGCATGGATAATAAAAACACTGTTTTTAACACGGTTTTTATTATCCATGAAAACAGGTGTACAAGGAAAAATAAATTCTTTTTCGGCAGTTTCCCTGCCAATGTTTTGGGGTGGGTGGGATGGGACAGTTTCAGCGGAACCCTCCCTCGTCCATGAAAACTGCGGAAACAGAATATACTGAGCTAATGATCTCAATATATCAGTACAAACATCTAACACGTGTCACACAGGTGATCTAATTTTGATTCTGTTTTATTTGATATTAGTTAAAACTAATTTTTCCGGCCTCCTTGGACGACATGATAAATTTCGTGATAAAATAGCGAATTCTTGAGCATCTCGTGTGTCAGTTTCGTCTCACAATACCTTAAAAAAATCAAAAAGAAACAATGTTAATCAGTGCAAAACAATTCYATACCACCATTTTGGCTACCGCTAGTTTTCCACCCTGGTGAAACACTAAGTCAAACTAGCTATGAGGAATGCTGTTCTAAATTGTTATAGTGTATAGGTAGTGCGTGTAAAACAGATAATTTCGATCTTATAGAGGGGTATTTTCATGGTTCCGTCCTCTCACTCAACCTTCCTTCCCTGGTATTTTGGTTACGTCCTCTCCCTCAAACTTCCTCCACTGGGTCAGTTCTTTTCTAAATGAGTGTCAATATACCCAGTAATAGCCCCCCTGCTAGTAGCCTCTTGTCTATCAAAACGTAGTGTGTTTGATTTACCTGCGTTATTACTCCAGCTGCAATGGTGTCACTGCCGTATCGCAGCATAAACCTGCCAAGRTCCTTGTAGTCTTTGTATAGTTCAACGCAGACCGGTCGACTTGTGTGGATTTCCACCTCAGCATTAGAATTCTTGGAGAGACATCTAAATTTGTTTGATTGGTTTTAATACAATCGGTTAAAAAGGATCTAATCCAAACTCCGTCTTAAAGTAATTGAATTATTTTACGTCTACACGTATCCTTATTTCAAAAGCGATGGTCTCACTGGTAGAAATGCTTTCCAAATACAGATACATGTAGACTGGACGCGGGAATTCTTTGAGATGCAACATTGCGGATAGAAAAAATATCCCGCCGGCTACGTGTGGACAAGTCAATTTTCACTGGTGAAGAAAGCGGAAACGGAATCAACAAAGGAAACAAACTGAAGGTTTTCATTCGTTATTCTTCTATATTGACATCTTCCTCCATTCTTCCTTCACTGTTTTTTTTCGTTTATGAATTCCGGTCACYCTTTAATTTGGAATGGGAATGTTTCCCTGCGCCATCTTGAAATACCACTCTACCGAAGCGAGACGACCGAGTTACAATGATGAATACCTGTGAATTATGGTCTATATGTGTCGAAGAAGATCTCTATACACGACACGCTCACCAGTACAATCCTACCTCTTCGATGTAAAGGTAGCCTTTCAAGATGGCGCAAGAAATGCGACCAACACACAGCCTGTGCCTACAGTCAGTTTACTGTACTTTACAAGTGATATAAAAGTAAGTATAGCATACCTTGGTTTTCGTTTTAATACTTCACCAGTACTTTTATTGAGTAAAGCCAGTAACCGCTTGATTGTTGCTGGTTCACTCATAGCTTGATAGTGAAACAATACCTAATAAATTAAGATAACGTCAGATAGGATTCATAGTTATTAAGGCTGGGGACGAGATGAGATTTTCCTTTTTTGTTTTTTAACTTATTGCATGGAGTCTTTAAATGAATGGGGATTCCCTTGATTCCAAGACCGGATATCATCATTGTTTCCCCATATAAGGTAAAAGACCTTTAACATTCTCAGTGCCCTGTCCTCTCAAGAAGGACGTTAAGTCTGAGGTAGAGTTTCCATACACTTCATATTAACAGCGGCCGAGGGAATTAAAAGAGGACACGCTACTATTCAACAAAGAGAAGTAGGCCATGCTTACCATGAATCCCTTTGTAATCGGTATATCAATATTAAATACAATTATTCGTGCTTTCATCTTTGTAGAGCTTTTAACAGGAGAACTTGGATCGCACAAGATACTGCCAACTCTATGAAAGATTCATACCAAAGAAATTAGTCTTTTCACAAATACATAGCCACGCCAGCAACACCGGTTACAAATATCTATGGCCATTCTATGATAGTACAGGAACGGACCCTTCCTGGTAAATACTGTCTATGTGTGCCTTTGCTTGCAGGTAATAAAAAGACACTTAATACCCCGAGAAACGTCGGAATACTCTGTTCAAACTGATAGCAATGCTGATAAAATGTCGAAAACATCGAATKAAAACGTTTTTTACAAAATAATCTCTTGCGCGCGCCCTAATTGTTTGAGAAGCACTTCCCTCTGCAACGACGTCTCTCCTGTCGCTTTCCTTGCTTTCTCAAACTTCCTGAGTACCAGAGTTCATTGCTGTGTTTTCTACTTTTCAATGGGTAGGAAAAAAGCCTACACGGTATTCCACATAACAAGACAGAGGTGAAGGAAAGCCAAGCCTTTTGGTTGGACACCTCCTCGGCGAACGCTTAGCTCTTTTACTCCGACGAAGGATTAACGTCCGAAACGTCAGTAAGTTATTTCACATACTTTTTTACGGTGTTAAATTTATCCTTTTACACATCTGTTACTTAGCTCAACCGTACAATTTGACTTACCCGACATGCATTGCATCAACACCTGAAAGTGTGAGCGTCACGTGATCTCCTGCGCATGCCCACGAGGCGGTTTCTTCGTGAATTGCCAAAGCTGCAAAAAATCAGAACAAAAGCTTTTGTTATAATACTTTTGTTATAAAATGGTTACTCCACTGTGGGTTACTCTTTCCTTTCTCTCTGTTTCTTTTTAGCGTCGTTCTCTCATGAATACAAGAAACAATGATGCTGTGAAATAGTCACTAGAAAAGCAGTGGCATTAGAAGTTTACTGGGGCGGTATGGTGTCGTGCGTTAGTTCTTTCTCAGGGTTGTGGAAACCACTCTATTATGATCGATAGTAAGTGGTTTTAGTTTAATTATTAAAATCAAATACGCCTCATTAACGCTTTGAAAGCAAGTGTTAACGCTGGCCAGAAAAGAAAGATAAATTCCACTATAAAGAAGTTTTGGAATTTAGAATTTTTAGATTAAAAAAAAACGGCCTCCCTGGACCGGCCTACAGGGAAGTTTAGCATGAGACTACTTCTAGATCTATTAGAATATTCCAACCTATTTCAAGGTCTTTGTTTATAACTAAGCACTATTTTATGAACCTGAAGATTGAACTTAATAATCACTATACAATGATACAATTCACTAAATAGAAAGGGACACAACTAAAACCTCAGTGTGGTAGATAAGCTGTTTTCAAATAAATACGTGAAACTGTAGACTGACACTTTAGGAAACTATGCCGGATGCTATAGGACAATTGTACACATTTATCAAACAATTAAATAGTCAACAAATCCATAGCAACATGAAATAGTAAATAACATTCACGACTAAAAAACGAATCAACTACGCTATCGTGCCAAACTAAAGAACAGGTCACAAAATTAATGAAATGACACAAACTTTAATGTAAACTGTCTTGAAAATTAAATGAAAAAGAGACTCCGTATTAAGCAAGAAAATGCGGAATGCAAAGTAAATCAAAGACGAGAAATGACTGGGGGAAATCTTCTTCATCAAGCAATTTTTCTCCAGCGGTCGCGTCAATTTGAACTACTTGTCCAGAAAGGAATCGACTTGAACAAAAGAGATGAACGTCTCCGCACGGCACTTCACATTCTAAGCGAATTAGAAGATGAGACAGTAGCAGTTAGTTATGCCAAAGTACTTCTTCGCCATGGAGCAAGGACAAACGTGAAAGATTGTGAAGGTCATACGCCATTTTATTACGCGGTAATCAATCAACGTGTACAGTTAGCGAAAGTGTTTTTGAAAGAAAGAGAAGTTGATTTGCTTGAATCAGATGAAGACGGCAACACTCTSTTACACTTTGCTGCAGCAGCCGGCAATGAAGCATTGGTAGAAGTACTAATAAAATCCATGCAAAAAGTTGGATTAGGTATTGATGAACTTAACAGGAAAGGAGAAACAGCAGTAATGATGGCTGCTATGAACGGCCATGGTCATTGCCAAAAACATTTTCTTGGGAAATCGTGGAAAAAGATGCTACAAAATGGTGGTACAGTGGATAACAAAGTAGAGGAGACAGAAATCAAAGTATCGCGACATTTCAGGTCTGAATTTTATATATTTATCAAAACTCACGGTTTGAAATAGACCTTTGACGCTTTTACGTCATATATCGAAAATGCAATGCATTGTAGGATATGTTTGGAATAAAACATGGCGGATTTCCTTCTTTTTTTTTTGTTGATTTTCACAAACTGATCCCATAATGCAGTGCAGTGCAAATCACGTAGGTGACGTAAAAGCCTAATCCTGGGTTAACTTTTAAAAAACCTATGGAGTTAACCCTGGATTAACGCTAATCAGGCTTTGAACAGCCCAGCCCAGATGTTTATCGTCATGCCTTTTCCAACTTATGTAAACTGCTAAGGAAAGAAAGGCGTCAATAAGGGATTTGAATGTCCAGAGTTTAGATTTGAACAGGTTATGTCAAATATTACTTTACAGRACCAAATTCCCAGGAATATGTGAAAACTTGAAAATGAATGTGAAATCCAAATCACAGGAAATTATCACCATGAAAGAAAAACAACGTAAGAATGGTATATATATTGCTGTCTGTCAGTGTGTTTTTGCTGTCCGTCGGTCTCTCAGTCTTCTGCGGGTCGGATTGTGAGATTTTTCTGTCAGTGTGTTTTTGCTGTCCGTCGGTCTCTCAGTCTTCTGCGGGTCGGATTGTGAGATTTTTCTGTCAGTGTGTTTTTGCTGTCCGTCGGTCTCTCAGTCTTCTGCGGGTCGGATTGTGAGATTTTTCTGTCAGTGTGTTTTTGCTGTCCGTCGGTCTCTCAGTCTTCTGCGGGTCGGATTGTGAGATTTTTCTGTCAGTGTGTTTTTGCTGTCCGTCGGTCTCTCAGTCTTCTGCGGGTCGGATTGTGAGATTTTTCTGTCAGTGTGTTTTTGCTGTCCGTCGGTCTCTCAGTCTTCTGCGGGTCGGATTGTGAGATTTTTCTGTCAGTGTGTTTTTGCTGTCCGTCGGTCGGTCGATCTCTCAGTCTATCTGCCGGACGTTTTGTGGGATTGTGTGTCTGTCGGTTGTTTTTGCTGTCCGTCGGTCGGTCGATCTCTCAGTCTATCTGCCGGACATTTTGTGGGATTGTGTGTCTGTCGGTTTGTTTTTGCTGTCTATCCGTCGGTCGGTCGGTCTCTCAATCAGTCTGTCTGCCGCTCGGTTTGAGGGATTGTGTGTCTGTTGGTTTGTTGTTGCTGTCCGTCGGTCGGTCTTTCTCTCAGTCTGTCTGCCGGTCGGTTTGTGGAATTGTGTATCTGTCGGTCTGTTCTTTCATTCCGTTTGTTCTCTGTTGATCCGTCTATCAGTCGGTCTGACTAGTGTGTTTTGGTATATCTGTTAGTTTGTTTCTGAGTCCGTTTGCTTTGTGTTGTTTGGTCTGTCAGTCGGTCTGACTGTGTGTTGGTATATCTGTAAGTTTGTTCCTCAGTCCGTTTGCTTTGTGTTGTTTGGTCTATCAGTCGCTCTGATTGTGTGTTGGTCCGTCTGTCCGTCTGTCAATCTGTGTTGGTAAGACGGTTTTTATGTTTCTCGGTTTCTCCCTCGGTCTGTATGCAGTCAATCACACAGACTGTATGCCTGTTGATGTCAGTTAAAGAATTATAATCATTCATAGTGCTTTGCGAGCGGAGCGTCCATTTTTGATGCAAATAAAAATTGCGGCATTGACATGTGAGCTCTACATCTCGAACGCTCTCAGTATGTTAGACCGTATCTTGGGAAAATTCGTGCATTTTTGTTTTTACCAATGAGAATATATTTTCGTAAATTTACGATGGTTGTGGAACTTTGTACGTATAAAAACAATAGCACAAGCTTGCAAAGCACCATGGATGACTATAATTCTTTAAGTCTGTCTGTTGTCGGTCTAACTGTTGTAACCATTCCTGCCTTGCTCTCTGTTCGATAAATTCACAAAGCATAATAAGAAAAAGACGAATCAAAATCAATCCTTTCACAGATAAATCCATCAAAGAAAGTTTGCCCAATATATTCGACACGTACAAAACACAACTAGTATCAAACTACC